CGCTGTTCCAAATTTGATATAAGGTCAGAATATTGTGAAATTCTTAATTAAATAAAAACTTCAAATTTTTAGTCAAACGGGATTCTTGTCAACATTATTATGATGAAACTTATAATTATCTATTTTTTTGCAACATTAATTAAATTTTTAAAATTTTTGATAGATATTAAATACAATTATGGTCGCTAATTTCAAATGAGAGTCTCGACTCAGTCGACGGCTGAGTCGACTGAAAAGTCTCTAACGGCTGACTGAGTCGACTCCAGAATTTGTCCCGACTGGTACTACTAAATTCGAATATCTCCATACGGAAAGCCGTTGCTTTGAAACGCATCTTTGAACTTTACTTATAAATAGATTCTTTAAAATCAGTTAGTGATCTGATCTTGTGGAGGTTAAATCCCGCATTTTTCGATAAGATTATAAATTTTCTCTGATTAACTACAAATTTGTCTTCGAAAAAAACTTAATTTTGCCAGTGCGATGATGAAACAGTTCCAGGATCTGATCAGGTTAATTTAGCTATGAAATGCCAAGAAGGTGGTGGAATTTCTCTCATCATCACCGTAAAAAATATATTTCTTTCTCGAAGACTCCAGCATATTATATGAGTTAGTGGGGTTTTGAAAGATGTTGTCAATCCACCTCGGAAAGTGAAGCCCGATTTGAAAATGAATACAAAAACAAAATTCTTTGTATTTTGTCACTAGTGTATACATTAATAAAAATTTATATTTAGTTTGCTTCTCATACTACATCAAATTTTCACAATGCCAGGGTGGCAGCCTTCTCAAAAACAGAACTATTTAAATTTTCATTTTTCCTACAGTACAGCTTCAAGTTCGCCTCTAAGGAGGAGGTCACACTTCTGGGTAATATATAGGTTCGTTTCTATTTGTTATCTACTTGGTTTAAAACCAAATAAATTTGTTGGCAAATCAGTAATTGCAATTTTATTTAATTTTAGCTGATTTTTGGCATAAAGATGAAGGCTATAATAATCTTGCCACTTGTGGTTATCTTGGCATCCAGTATTCGAATTTGACGAATAAAGTATCACTGGATTCGTTTCATCAGAACGAGTTGAATGGTGATGTCTCTAGAATCAATATATGCCAAGATATACATTAAAACATATTTTGGACGGTTTGGCCATTGTCTCGTGATATTTAAATGCTACATATAATACCTGGTCACCATTCGATGCGTATCGACGAGACGAATCCAATGAGCCTTTGATTGTCAAAATCGGATCACTAGATAGCGAGATATTCCCAATTTTGTGAGATTTAGAATTTCGAAAAATTTTCAGGTAAAGAATGTTTTAAGGCATATCTCAAAATCTATTGATCCTAAAGACATGAATCAACTAACATTGACTCATCTTTATGAGACGAATCCAACGAACCTTTATTCGTCAAATTCGGATTACTGGATATTAGGATAATCATAGTGGCCAAATAATTATTAACTCCATCTGTAAATAATCGGGCAACACTTTCCGACGCGACTGGACCATCTATGTTGTCACTAGTATGTATGTATTTCTGCTATTTTTTTTACCTGGAAGAATTTTTTTATTTTACTTAAAAGACGTTATACGTTGCATGAATTTCTAAGGATGTATCTTATATAGTTTATTTTTTTATTTCAGTTTTTTTTCGCAGAAAGAACGCATTCCCTCAACAATGTATAACAATTATCAATAAATAGAAATGATGAAATAGAATGTAAAGATTGAAGATTCAAGAAAATGGCGCAAATAGGTAATTTTCCTTTTAACATGCTTTCATTCTTCGGGGATGATAATTATCCCCATACTTTGTGGTGGGGTGTGGTAATAACTCTCCATCCTTTGTGGATTCTCATCATCTTCTTTGGGGCTGTTATAATATATCTCGACTTTTGAAAAGTTTATCTATTTACTTTGAATGTCAGAATATGTAGGACTCCTTTTATTTTTTATAAATAAAAAGAAAGATGATTATCTGTTATAATTTTTGTAGAAAAGCGGAATTAGTTGTCATTTGTGAAGGTAATCTCCAAGAATTATTAATTGAAGAACTGTAATGTTATTGCTTACATTATAACAGGGTAAGATATCTTTTCTTATTAAAGATCGAAATAAACATGTTTGCAGCACAGTTTAGAAACCAGAAGTCTCATATAATTTTATTTAGTAATTTAGCAAAACTTTATTATATAATGTATTAAGCAATATAAATTTAGTCACTTGATATATGTTAAAAACCACAAATTATTTCATAATTTTTACATAAAAAAATGGGGAGAATTGCGTGCAAATAAAAGAGATAATTGAGCATAATTGAAAATTAGCTATTGATGTATTTAGATGCGAATTTGTATTATCATTTCATAATAACTTCGTCTATATCCTCTGGTACAGGCTTTAGGTCGTAAAAAAAGTAATCGTCAAGTAAGTCTAACCAATTTTGTACTTTTTCATGAAGTGGAGGAATACATTTTTTTATGATTCACAAATCAGTTCGAATTTTCATGAAGAAATTGAAGATTTTGTATAATAATATATTTTGTCAAAAGAAAATGGAATCAAGCAAGTAGCCAATTCAACAGCCAGAACTTCTTTTTGTCAATTAGAGAGATGGAAAACAATGTAAGACGATCACCAATTATTTGAATGCTATAGGTCCTTATTTCTAAATTATTTCCAAATATTTGGCAAAGGCTACAGACAGACATAATAATAACTTATTTGTAACCCCGACTGTATGTTCTCGTGTAGTTTTAAAAGGTGGTCCCGAAACTTCAGTGTTCATTATTTCCAACCCTTCCCTTCTGACAAACATAAAACAAGTAGATCAGTCTTTCGTCGATTGATATCTTCTGTAAACATATTATTTGTCTCTTTTATTGAAGCAAAATCTTTTCGAGCCATTCGTATTTAATATCTGGGAACTCATTTCGAAACGCGCGGTAGGTGAAATAGATTCTACAATAAAGGTTCTTTCAGAAATTTTACAATCTAAAACTCTACCTGAAGTTTGCGATGAAATCTAGGAGTGCGTCCCTTAAGAAGAAGTTGAACCTTGCTTCCGTTGATAACTTAACTGCACCCATAAAAATTCGATTCGATCCCTATGTAGTCTGTTTCAAATATCGCCTCCAACTTCTTAAAAAAGTTTCCTGTAAAATCAATTGGTCTTTTGCTCGTAATAGCTTTTTTATATGAAGATTCCCTCTTCAACAGTTTCTTTGATGTAATTTATTGTCGCGTTAATATCTATCACACATCATTTTTGTTATGATTGGTTTTTTGGTGTAAGAATCGAAGCTCTTTTGGTCGATTGGATAACTGAACGTGGTGTATCTTGTGATGTAGCAATAGAATCTAATAATGTCTGTTGGGTCTAGTTGATAACTGGACATGGTGCATCTTCATGCGAAGTAGTAATATATTCTGAAGTTTCTAATACGAAGTAGTATCCCTGTAGTCTGAATACGATGAATGATCTTCTTCTGAACTTTCAGTATGACATACTTATTTTCTTTTTCTAGCCGATTTCCTCATACGGAAAAAAGTCATAATCAGTTTTATTCGATTAGCATAGCATCATCTATTAAGTATTTCCTGCATACAAAGAAATAACCCTTTTCGTATCAGAATAGCATTAAGAGATGACCCAAGTACTGCTTTTCCCTTATTATTTACAAGTGACTGTTCAGCATATAACTGAACCTACAAAAAAACAAACAACAAAAATCAAGTGCGATCAACTCTTTCGGAAGCCAATTAATATAGATATATACCATACTCAAATTAGCTTTCTCTTTTGAAGCTGTGATTCCATTTCGAACTTTTCAAGTTCGACATTCAGCCAGAAAACTTTACCATCTTCCCTTAGCGCTTGATTCTGAAAAAATTGAAAAGGATTACTCAAAGATAAAAGCAGGTCATTGGATACTATGAATGAAGACGAAGCTTCTTGCTTGGCAAGGAAAGACGAAAATTCCCCGCCTTCACATAGATTTTAGAAGAAGCCTACCGGAGACAAATTCCATAACTAGCCTAAAGGCGATATTTAAGCAGCTTAGGTGGTTGCATCGAAACGATATTCCGGCTCCTTCCATTATAACATTGTGTTCCCTTATAATTCATCCTTTAATTCCTCGCGGGTTTGTCATTCATCTAATAATTCGTGGTCTCGGTTGTCAATTTCCCTAATATCTCCCTCCACTAGTTAAACATTAACCTTAAATGTAGAATTAAATAAGAAGCATCTTTTTCCATTCATCTGTTGAAGTAACAGCAACAGTGGACACAAATGTTGATATCGCTTTTGTGTTCGACCTTGTCAAATGTCGAGTCCCCTTTCTTCCGGCGAAAATTCAGAATGGAAAAAAGATCGAGATTGCCAGGGTCCAAAGAGGTTTGCCCAATTTTCAAACGATAGTCGAGTCTTTAGCGCGGTTTCCTGAAGTTTTGCGATTTAAAGAATTAAGAGCGAAGAGGAGATAAGATATCTGATATACAATCATTTTTTATGATGAATTTAGTTCATAATCACATGTCATCTAGAATTTAGTCATGTGGCATTACAATTTGTAACCATTTTCACAAAAAAATATTTCAACTTTAATGCTCACATTTTTGGTAGGCCTGGCTCATATTATGATTAGGATCACTTGCTCAATTAAAGCAAAACCATGATTTCCAGTTCCCAATTTGTTACCAAAGATAGATGTTATTCACAACAACATCATCATTAAACGATTTTGCCGAGTTTGAGATTCAAATCGTCGACTTTCGACTCTGGCGATTTTCCGACTTCGATTCCGAACCTACATACATAGATCCTTTACGCGCACTGGATTGATGAAAAGAAAATATGAACAGAAAAATACTTCCGAGTCGTGTTACGTAATAGCATGAATATAATAAAGCGAGCCCCCTGGTTATGTTGCATAAGGGTAAACTCCGGTTGTCGTGATGAATTCGAAATTACCTATCCTTGGACAGCAACAATCAAAAAAATTAAGTTTCAAGTTTCACCAGTTGATCCTTTGTGTAAAAATCATTTCAATTTTGTTTCATCTTACTATATTATTTCTAGTACACTAATCTTCACAGCAATGCATTCATTTTGTGAACAAATCTTATTTATACAAGGAATTATAATTTGTTAAAAAAAAAAAAAAAAACAAGTAATGATTCGTACAATAAAAAAACAATGAAAATATAAAAAAATTCAGATTTATATTTTTTTTCCCATAAAACACCAATATAAGAATGCTCAATATATATTAGCTTATAAGTTCTGTGTGATTTATTATAATCGAATTAACGAAAGAATTGAATATTGAAGAAGAAATAAGCCATTACAAAAATTTCGGCCAAATATTTAGTGCTGGCAAAACTACCGCATATACTTTTATTTAGTTATTTAAACATTAATTATTAATATAATATTTTTTATTTAAAGCAAAATACGTTATCAATATCATCAAATTATCATTAACGAATCATTCGCAATGTTTATTTTTATCCTTATTAAAATAAGTATTTAAATTATCAAAATATTTTTTATTTTTTTAAAAAACTAAATGCCCGTATAACCATTATCAAGTTACTTTATAAACCACACTACGTACAACAAATTTTAATTAATGGTGTGAATAATTAAAAGAATATATATAATCAATTTTTTAACCATATTTTTAATGATGTTTTCTTTAATTTTTCTAGTAATTAGTACATTACAAATACCTTTTTTACATTTGCATTTTCATATTTGGAATAAAAAATTCATGGTGCAAGCAAGTTTCCATGGATATTGCTTTTTCGATAAATTGCTCTCAATAATAATGAACAAAGAAATAAAAATCATTTAATTCACAATTTAATAATTGCCGCAGTATTCGCAGTATTGATCACATACTGCGGCAAGATCTTTCATACATTGACATGTACCACATTGCATTATGTCGTTATAAAAGTTAATTTGTTTTGAAAATATTTTTAACCATGTCATATTTAACAATAAACGTAAAAGTGTAATAAAGAAACTTAAAAATATTTTCACTAAACAAAAAAAAAGAATTTAAAGGTATGAAGCTTAGTTTGACAACGGTTGGATGATATTCTAATATTTTTTTTTATAAATTCACATTAGAGCTAATTCCAGATGCTTCGGATGCCCCTACATTAAAAGAATTATATGGTAATGAACAATTAAGTCAAACAATTATATTTTAATTTTAACTTTTTTTTTTATTAAAAAAATTTTAATTAGATTTTGATGCGATATGTATTTGACGATCTATTCAGTTTTTCGCTCAATTTGTATAGTTAGTTGTACGATCTATGTATTTGTGGCTGATTTCGGTACTATTGCTATTGCTATTGCTATAAGCTTCTATGTATCATTAGAATAAATTCATAATTTAAAATTTCCCGTGCTACTTTTGAAATGCATTAAATTTGACCATGTTTAAATTTTGCAGAAATTTTTGTTTCTTTGATCTTTGTAGATCATTTGCATATTATTATTATTTAGATTTAATAAAAAATTTAAAAAAAAAAAAATTTCGTTTCGTTTGATTTTTTTTTGTGTTGCATTAATTTATTTGTTGATCGTTTATGTTGTTACAATTGTATTTTGAGATCTTGATTATGAAAAAAAAATTATTTCTTTTATTTCCCTTATTTGTAATGGTACGTTATACTATTTTATATTTATTTCTTTTTAACACAATATTTGCTGTGTAATGCTTTTTTGTTAATTGTTTATATTTTTATTTGTTTATATTATATTAAATTAAACATTTTTAATGATTTATAAACTTTTTTCTTTGGTTATATTTTTATTTGATATTTTTGTCTTTTTAATTTA